TTTATATTTATATATGAAAATATTCTATAAATTATTGTTAGATTTTTTTTTAAATTTAAAATTAAATGTTTAATGAATTTTAAAAACGTATTTATATTTTTATATGAAGTAAAGAAAGAACTTACATATGTATAGTCAACAATATCCGTAAAGAGTTCTTTAAACGAGGAAAGACAATTTTCATTCATAAAAGGTGCTAAAAGTAAAAAACAGATTTGTCAAAAATAAATAATAATTTAATATTTTAGACAAAAGATAATGCTCTGTTTGTCTATGTCAGGCCCCTTCTCTCACTACCAGGCCTTCCCATTGCGGGCTCAGCCGAACTCAAAATGCCCTCTTAGTCCCAAAAAGTTTAAAAAAATCTAATATATAATGAATACAACTATTAAATTGAGGAAAAATAAATACATTATAAAATTAATCGTAGAATTTGTAAATCTGTATCCGTAACTGGACGGAAGATAAAGTTGTTTTTAACTTCATTCATACAATTTATATAATAAATAGTTTACAAGTATATACGTTACTTATATATATATAAAGATTCTCAATAAAAAAAAATTACATTTCAGTATTTTTTTAAATAAAAAAGTTTCATAACTTACATTCTTTATAAACATCAAAGAATAAATCGCAGACCCATTCCAAATCCTGGTTTCTTCGTTCCAAGCAAAGATGCCACATTTCTCTCTGTAATTATTTATTATAATATATGCTAATTACATTATATTAAATACATTGATAATTGTAGGATTATGAATCTTACATACTGATCTATTAATTTTTATGTGTATAAATTATAAGGTAGGTTATCTCTCCTTATCTTTCTGTTTTCATAAGTTATTAAAATAACTTAGTAAAATTACCAAAATGATTGTTATGTAATCAATATTTCATTTCAATTATTTAAAATAGTATAAATCTACTGTATAGTTACAGTTAATGTTAAAATATTGGACTTACTTCTACTCGTTTGGAAAACTTTTCGCAATCATCTTCGATTTCAGGTAACTAAAATATATATTTTCGAAATGATTATTTAATATATTTATTAAAATATTAATAAAGAAAATTGTTGATTATTTCAGAAATAAATTTGAAACAATAAGAAAAGAAAGTAATACTTACGCCAGCGAATAATCTTGTTTCATATTTAATGTATTCGAAGTACGACTTTTTCTAAAATTTGAAAATAAAATGATAATAACAGTTAATATATATAGAAAATTTTAAAAACAAATAATAAATTTTTACTATTATAATAAAATATAATACTGTATTTAATAAAATGATTATGTAGAGTAAAATTTGTTTATTAAAAATACAGATTTATTCTATAGAATCTATAATATGAAATTAACAAAGAAATTTATGAAGAAAACTTGTATAATCTATTTTCCTATGATTAAAAAGTATTGGAAATGGTTCAATGAAACGCAAGATTTGAACTTATTTATCAAAATTTATTTCGTTCCCTTCAAAGTAATTCACTACCATAACTCATCATGTGTTAAGATTGGAAGCTCAAAATGGCAGTTTAGATGCCTACTTTCCTAAATATAATGAAGACTATTATATAACCAAAGATATCTGTACATTAAGCGAAGTTTTATAAATATATTTTTAGGTAATTCTTATAATATCAAAAGATTGATAAGACGACATCAAGATTATGATAGTGACTCCGTGCCAAGTAAAAATATCACTGACTGACTATACAGAAATCAGAGTTGCCGATTTTCGGAGATCGATTTCTCTGATTCTCAAACGCCTATAGTAATTCTGAAAATCTCATTCGAAAGATAATTATTTTCGTAGATAGTGTGTAAAATTTTAAATTTTTCTATAAAGGGGTTGCTGAAATATAAGCAATCGAATAGTGTAAAAATCACCGAAAAAAAGCTGTATTTTCTTCTTTTCTTCGTCCGCATTTCAGACGCTCGTGGAAAAAAACCATCGGATCTAGAAAGCTCAAATTTTAAACTTAAGTCTTTCTGATTATCAGTGAGGTGTCGGTCAAACTTCTGAATCGACAGATCCCGAAGTTTGACCAAAGTTCACTGGGATTTACCATACAGCTATTTTAGTTTTATGGTTTTAATTTTATGCTTAAAAGGCTAAAATTGCCTGAATATTGAACAAATTAACAAACAAATCTTATTCAGAATGTTATCCAGAATAACAAAAGAACAAATTTATGCAAATTAAAACTTTTTATAACGGTGTATTGAAAGCGTTCTGTCGGTGGCCATCGCATCCTGGTGCTCCGACCGAACTGTACAATGATATTATGATGAATGTGATCTATGTTTTATTATTTTTAACAAATCTTATTATTTTATTATTTGATCTAACTGTTAAATTCGTAAAAGATATATGATATAATTATATTATCATGTAATTCAAAATTACTTACCGGAGCTAAATACATGATTATTAAAAACTTACAGTCGAAGTCAATTTCACTCAAACAATCGGTGATATCCTATAAAAATTTATAAAACATCCATAAAATATATTTTATATTTCTACAATTACTAAGTTTTTTTTTATTTATAAAGGCTAAGTGATGTATTTCATTAGGTAAATTATTAGGTTTTACGTGATCAAAAATTCATTTTAAAACATAAGATCTTTTAAATTTTATATTTAATATATATAATATTTAATTATGAATGGAGAATTTGACAAAAAAAATGTTTTCTATATGTTTAATTAGCTAATATGATTATTTTACTATAGAGAAATGATATCTTTTAATTAATTACGCTTAGTATTTGTATTAAAGATAAAATTGATGAAGTTTTAAGATAATCTGATAATTATATTAGCTTAAATATTTCTTGTAATAACTATTATTTAAAAAGAAAGATACTAGAATATAAAATAAAAATTATAAAAAGATTTATATATTTTATGTAATCACATCACGTTGTTTGGGTTTTTAAATAGTCGTGGTTTGCTCTTTCACCTTTACATAACTTTATTTAATGTCATTTAACTTTTAGGATTTTAATTTAATGTAATTCATAACTATTGAATAAAATATAATTAATAATTTTATAAAAGTAAAAAATAATATTACTTTACTTATTTGTAAATTATTTTTAACTTACTAGCTTTACTCTTTCTTGACGGCATTTGTCATCAGTCTAGACAATAATTATATCCATTAGTTAAAATTTATATATTTTTTAAATATTATATTATAAAACAATAATAATGTCAAGAAACTATATATATTGCTTACTATATTGTTATATTTGCCCGATTCAAATCCTTTTTTACAACAAACTTCATTGATAGACAGTGACTGTAAAAGAAAATATTCAGTTTTATATATACAGTATTATGATCTTGTTACTTTGGATAAAAGACATGTCGCAGTTATCCAGAGAGTGCTCTCTTATGTGAGTTCGATTGTATATTTACATTTAATAATAATATAAAATATTGTTGCATAAATTTGAATAATTTTTCATTACATAAATTAATTTTAATACATACTTACTCTTGAATAACAAAATCTTTGTTTGAGACAATGTTGCAACGAATTCAGGCATTGTTTCAGTTTGCCATTATCTTGTTCTAAATAAATTAACATTCGTGTAAAATTTATTTGTTATTTTATAAGATATTTCATTTAAATAACCGTAATATTTAATTTATATTATATAAAATAGCGTAAACATAATTAAACTAGTTTTACGTTAAAGGTTTTGCATGACTTTCCCGACACTCGAAGAAAAGGCAATCGATATAATGTAAGGCCTTATATCGAGGTAGGTGTATGTTTTAAAAAATTGTAAATGCCAATAAGATTTGTTTTTAATAAGCTAACAACGCATACGAGTAAAGTTTTCATTATATCTGACCTTACTCGAGAGTGTCAACGAGTTCCTAATTATAAAGCAATTATACATCCATAAATTCATTGCAATTTTGATGTGATGAATAATTATTATTTCACTGGAAACTATTGTCTAATGGATGCAATTTTCATTTGTATGTAGACTGGAATTATTTTATTTACTGTATTATTAATATTATAACTGTAGTAATAGTATGATAATAGTATCAACTTTTTAAAAATCTAATACTTGTATCTAATCTGAATTTCTTATACTGTATGTGTATTTTTTGAATACGAATACAAAAAGAAAATGCCTTATTTTACACTAACTTTAAGTAGATTTATAACACTAAGAAGAACACGAAAATGACGATATTTATTTAGTTGTTAGATCTTATTTAAAATATGGAAATTTCTTTTATATTATTGTAGAGAAAATACATAAAATTGGCATTAAACGTAAATAATACTTTTATACTAGTGGTGAGTAACATGGTCATTAGGGAAAGATTCGGACCGCATCAGGTGACACCAAAATGAGTCAAAAATTTCCGTTGTGTTTCAGCGGAAATTTATTATTGCCTGGGTGAGCAGTAAGCAGCTCAGGCTTCTGGGATGACTTTTGCGGTTTCGTGTCTGAGTTTTAAAAAAAATCTCCCACGTTAGATTTTGATTATTTTGGTGTCAGAATGCTCAGTAGAAGACTGGAAAGTGTATAAATTATTTTCTGAAAATTTAATTAATGCTTAGATAAGATATAATCAAAACACTCATGTTTGACGCTTAATAACAACGAAGTATTTGGACATTTTTGGACGCTGTTTGTTGAAATATAAAGCCAGACAGTTGCTTCATATTTGTGTAGAGTTTGGTGAATTTTTATTAATTTTAAATATCTCTGTAATTAGTTATTAAAACAAAATAAATTTTTGTAAACTTAGCTTACATCTATCAATATATTTACAATGCGAAAACTTTATGTAAATTTACTTTTTGAGCCCGGTAATGCATTTCAGTCAGAGCTCTCATTATTTATCAAATTACAATAAAAATACAAAAATAGTTTACATTTTACAAATATAATTACAAAAAACTATGTAAATACATAAAGGTTATGTGAATGGTATTGTAAATTTAAAGGTATAATTTCTATTTCCCTAATCGTTTATGTTATTGTCATTACATTCAGTAAAATACGGGAATTATAATTTACATAAAGCATTACTAATGATTCTGTACGGTCTGGTACAAAAAAAAGAGAGATTTCTATAGTGTCACCAATACTAGTAACACATAATTATACAATTACAAATTTAATGAGATCAAGAAAAAATTCCGAATACAATTCTCGAATTTCCCAAGCTCTTAGTTTAAAATAAATGTGAAATAAGTAAAAACATTATAAAAATTAATTTAAAAATATTATTCATAGAAATAAATATAATATTACTTTTAAAATTATAAAGATTTTTCAACAGAAGTTTTCCACTTCACTGAAATTCTTACCTTCACAATAAGTCAGGCAGATAAGAGAAAACAAAATGGGAAGAAATTTTCGAATCATGTTTGATGTTTTCGATAATTTCTAAATCGAAGTAAATTTTTATTAGAATATCTCGTGTATATATATATATATATATATACACGCACACACCAATATTTATTCTGTTACGTCATATTATATTCAATTCTGATACGTTTGCGCGTTGTTCGATCAGAAGTATATTTGATCTTCCTATGTTCTACGTGATAAACTACGTAAACTCCTTAATTTTTTTTAATATTAAAAAGTTTAATACTTTATTTTAAAAATAATAATAATAAATTTATTAAATACTCTGCTTAAAAGTTCATTCAAATTTACAGGAGGCTTCATAAAAATATTAAATAAATAGAGTTAACATTCGACTTTTCGATATTTGTTATCAATATTACAGTATATTATCAATTCTACTTCCTTAGAAACAATAGGTCCATATAAATTTTAACGTTTTTGAAGCACCATATACTCGTATTTAATATTATTTACAAGTTACGAATGCAAGCATACGTTTAAAGTAAACTTTACTAATTTATTTTGATTTCAAATAAAGCTTAGCAAACATAAGTAATTTCCACGTAGATTTTCGTAAATTTGCGTATTTTTTAATATAATTAATCTGCTTATCCAAAATTAAATTCATTTATAATTTGATTATTCTCTCTGAGTTTCTTTTTCTATTTTTCATAACTTATTTATATATTTTTATAACTAATAATCTTAATATAAAACCGTAAAAAATAACTAAAATTAAGAAAAATTTAGAAGACGTTAAGTAAACTAAAATATATTATTAGAATGTGATAAAAGGTAAAAACTAAAATCTAAAATAAATGTATTCTCTCCACTTCAAATTTATAGTCTCAGCTCCTGTACATCATACTTTTCCTTCTAGCAATAAAGTCATCTACCTAACTCCTTTTAGGGGAACATTTTTGAATTGAAATAACATAACTTCTTGTTTGTATCAGAGATTCGTATACAATTAATCGGGACCTCTTGCCTAAAGCTTTCTATATCTAGTCTTGAATTTCAACTATCTAACTCCGTTCTTGAGATTAAGGAAAGACAGACAAACAGAATGGAAGCGAAGTATAAATTAAAGTCTATTTTATTCATCAAGTGTATTCCTGTATGATAAGTTCTACACACATTACAACTATATTATTAGAAATATTGGAAGTTCTTCCAATAAAATAATTGTTTTAAGTTTACATAATTCTGACTGATTCATCACCGCCCAGAGCAAACCGCTGAACCTAAAGAGGTGAAATTTGGTACACAGTTAGGGTACGTTATGAAAACGCACACTAAGAAGGGATTTTTCGAAATTCCCCCGCGGGGGGAGAGGGACATCATTAAGGCTTAACCGGAAGAATGGCTTCTACTGTACTATTTTAGATGCGATTTTTCGTTTTCAATTACGTTTAGTCTTCATCGAGTACTTAGGTGTATTAAATTAATAACATTTCAGACATTGTTATAAATATTTTTATCTATTTCGATTTAAAAAATGTTCGAACCGCTTTAAATTCGAATTTGTTATTGCATATTGGTTCGATTATAGAACGATTGTAAACGTTCCAGAAAATTGATCAAATTGAAAACAGTTCGTTTGATTCTCGGCAATTCTCATCATTCTCAGCGGTAGGTGTTATATAACAATTACTATGGTTGTTGAAATACTGAATATAAATGGGGTTTGCTTGCAAAA